TATATATATATATATATTCTGACTTCGAACGACTGGCACTATTTGATCCAACAATGCAGTTTCCTGGACGAGTATGGCTGCCCTGGCGTTTTAACCTTTTTAGAATTTGATTTTTCAGGATCGATTTCGTTAGAATTTTGTAAACAGCTAAATAAAATTATCTTATTTAAAAAATTTTATGCCTTACAGCGACTATTATTAAATAAAATAATAAGGAGAGTAATAAATTTTTATTCAAATTTTTTTCTTAACGATAAATTAATTTTATAATCGTGTGCAAGTTTTCAATTCGAATTATGTCGAAATAGGTAAAATAAAAAAACATTTGCATTAAGGCGTCTAAACTTTAGATCTAGATTGTGGCTACTCTATATTTTGGGAGTCAGAAATCCGTCTGAAAAATTATATGTTTATAAAAAAAAGAAAAAGAAAGTACGTTACTGTGTTTGATCTCGTAACTTGAAATATAGCCTGCATTAACTAATCCGGACACTCCTTNAAATAAAAAAAACATTTACATTAAGGCGTCTAAACTTTAGATCTAGATTGCGGCTACTCTATATTTTGGGAGTCAGAAATCCGTCTGAAAAATTATATGTTTATAAAAAAAAGAAAAGGAAAGTACGTTACTGTGTCTGATCTCGTAACTTGAAATATAGCCTGCATTAACTAATCAGGACACTCCTTCGAAACACTGAGCCGTGAAAATCCGATCATTAAATCAAAAGTTCTTGTTGAGATGACTTAATATATCAGTGAACATTACTACCCTATTCAATAAATTCATAGTTATTATTAGCAATTATATGAATTTAAAAACCGTGATTAAATATTTATCATGACAAAATATATAGCAGCACACAGAGAAATATGATCCCAATAGTTTGGTCAGAAGAGTTTAGACTACTTAATGTAAATTTTATTTTTTACTCCTTCCGACATAATGGAATTATAAAATTCATTTATCGGTCAAAAAAAAAAATCGTAATTATTTATCAGTTTTTATCTTTTTATTTAATGGCAGTCGTTGTGAAGTATAAAAAGTTTTTCATAATTTTAAATAATATACTAAATACAAAATTTTAACAAAATCAATCGAAGAGTTGGATGGATGGAATTTTTAAAATACGAGTTTTTTTGAAATTCGATTTCTCAACAACGATTCCTTCGAATTTCTTTAAATTTTGTATTTTGCCATGAAAAATTATATTCTTGAAAATGATGTAAAAGATTGTATATCTAACATTGCAAAAATAAGTTATTTTTTGTATGGAATTATCTTCAGATAAAAGAATTTTATAATTATGTGCAAAAAATTACAATTCACTAAAAAAGTTCTCGAAATGATCGAAATATACAATAAGTGAAATTAGCATCCAGGAGTTCGCTTTAGATTGCTCTCCTGTCCAAACAATCTGATCCTATTTCCCAGATTGCGGCTATCCCCTATATTTTGGGGGTCAGAAATCCAAATCCGTCGGTGGAAAATTGATTCAGGAAAAGTACGTTTTTGTACCTAACTTCGAAACTTTAAATAATGCCTGCTCTAACTAATTTGCATAGTTGAGTTCATCCCCTCGAACCATTAAGATTGAGTTCAAGAACGTGAAGATCCGATCATTAGATGAAAAGTTATTCACGGTGATTCATATTTTATTTTGCGCACTGTACATTCATTAACTTCTTAAAAACCTCTAATTAAGTTAGAATTTTCACAATGTGCGGCAGAAAAAAACCCAGACAAACAGTTTTTTAACAAAACTGTATAAAAATAAATATTTTAGCAATATACAATAATGAAGAGTACACTTTTACTTAATTAGTAATTTGAATTAGTTTCAACACATACGCACACACACACAGCGATACAAACGCTTTTTCAGGTCGGTAGTTTTCTGCTATCCCAGATAGCTTGAGAGAACCCAAAATTTTATGTGATTTAGTGTAGGCCCTTGACTCCAAAATAGACCACACTCTGATTGAAATCTGGTGAGTAGGGTGGCCTTTCTTCAGATGATTTTATATCCAGAAAATGCGCCTGTAAGCTGGTGCGGAGTCTCTTTGAAACATAGTGCCTTTTGGCCCATGGAAGTACAATAGCTTATAGAATGTCTTACTGTTACACTTTTTCATTTATTTTAACTGCCCTAGCGCCGCCCTAGACCATCATCGTCTTTGGATTTTGGCGGCGATGTTTAACCACTTGGAGCGTCCATTCTGAGAGTTGGACGGTAATGAAACTCTCATAAGTGAATAAAAAAAGACTTTTCCAAGAAAATAAGAAAATTTGCGTCTTAGCACAATACCTCCTAGAAGTCCTTATCACGAGCTACCATGAACAAGAAGTTTAATCCTTTAGTATTTTCAAACGTCATATCATCGTAGACCGAACATCTTTCTTACTTTCCTCCACTGCGCAGTTCTTTGCGTTGGACTACTTAATTGTTCCGTGGTGAGGCTTTTTTATTCTAGGAGGTGTTGCTCTGTAACACTGCTAAAGGCAAACCTTTTGAAATGAATTAAATTTATTGAGTCGTATAAGTCCACTCTTCATAATTATTTGCTATATTTTGTAAATTTATTTATTTTTAATAGGTCCCGCAGTGGGCTGATTGTTAAGACACGGTTCCCAGTAGAACACCGAAGTTAAGCATCACTGGCTGCGGTCAGTTTGCGGGTGGGTGACCACTTGAATCAGTCGACTTCGCGCGCAGGTCGTCGTGTTACCGAAAGGGGGTGCCATCCCCTATGCAGATAATCAAAATTTGTGATGTCTTCGGATCATCCTCAGAGATGTTTTCTAGACCGTCGCCAATAGCCCAACTCTAGTGCGACGTAAATAAACTACAACTTATTTTTAATGGAGTAATATTAAAATTTTATCTTTTTTTGCGGCATCCTGTACTAAAGGATATTAAATTTAGGTTCAACAATCTGCTCAGAAATAGGAAGTTAAATTTAAATTTTGGTTTGAGGGGGGCACTCTTTCTTCCGCGTTTCCCCTCCCGGTGCTTTTTTTTCGTGTTTTCCCCTGAGGTAATGTTTAGTTCTTTTTTCAAATGTCAACATTTGAAAAAAATAGTCCCAATAACTCCACAAAAAAATGACTCTTCACTGAGTAAAAATCCGATCATTCTATCAAAAGTTATTCAGAATGTGGTGTGAATAATATATTTGCGTTTTAATAGTCTGCATAACAGCCTTGAAAGGATTGACTTTCTTTTACTGATGAATGATTATTGATTGATTATTTAGGCGATAATACTTCTGCGTTGAATTATTTTATTTTTATTCAAATTCACAACTCTCTCTATCATTGAGCATTTGTTTTTTTTGAAGAAGAAGAATCAATTAGAGTGTCACGTGAACATTCATCTTTTACAATTGCATCAGCCATCGATAAGCATCTCAGTCGGGGGATCGTTCAAATATTGCATAAACAACTGATTATTGCTTACTAGGAGTATGAACAATACTTGGTAAGATATAGAAAATCCTCTTTTTTTTTCTTTAAAAAGCAACAAAAAAATTATTTGTCGAAAAATTTAAATTTTTTAAGCAAAGTTGAATTAAGGTAAAAAAAAAATATTCTTCGAAGATCAAATATTTCGAAACCACTAAAAGATGTCCAAGGAATAGTCAACTCAAAATTTAATAAATAAAAAAAAGATTTTAACCTTGAATTTTGTTATAAATTTGTTGTTTGAATCGAATCCAAAAATGAGCTTACTAAAGAAAGAGAGGGTTCTGCAACTAAGCACGAGAGGTGAATTTCTTATTTTTTCTCGTGAGGAGTGTTAGCAATGCTTACTTATGACATTAAAATCCTCTGAGTTTCAGAAATTTCCTTTAAAAAAAAATAACATGAAAATTTGAAGAAGTTTTGAAAAGTTTTAAATTTAAAATGAAAAAAATTAAGTTAGTTAACAAAATGTACACATTTTTTCAACACTGTGAAGATTTTGAGAAAATATTTTTGTCTTTTACTTTACTCGTTTTAAGAACACGTTTTAATTGGGTATACTATAGCCTACGTCACAGGTTGTGTTATTCCTACTAAATTTAACCCATGAACGGCATTTTCTGCGAGCCTAACTTCAAGCCACAAATAAACAAACGAAGTGTTTGATCGTTTAAATAGCTGCTCGCCAGATTTTATTGCATTATAAAGAAAAGTAATTGATATTCGATTTTTGATTAATAATTGATTTATGTGGATAGTGGCATTTATGTGGATAGTGGCATAGAATTTAGCATTGCG